GACTTGGGGGCTGGAATCTGGATGATCTTTAAGGTCCCTTCCAAATCAAAACATTCTATGATTCTATGACTTGGATTTACATGTTTGACCATGAAGAAGTTTTTTACTTATCTTTTTGAGAAACCTTCAGAAATACAGTGAATAATTATCCTTAACAATTACCTCGTTTAATTAATCTTTATTTTTAAAAATTAGACCTCTTAACATGTCTGTTGTCTAAGAAACCATGCTTTAAAATGAACTGAGCTGAAGCAGTATATTTCATTCATAGTTAGTTCAGGACACACTTAACAATTCTCTGGTAATAAATAAGCTAAATGGAACATCTTACAATATTAGAACCAGGGGCACCAAAAACCATCATGAGTAAGTTTAAAATGGTTAAAAATAGTCCCTCCACTTGTGGAACTCATTGCCAGAGAAGGATCTGGATACAGATACTGTCACTGTGGGCAGAAATTGCTTAGAAAAGTCCATGGGCAGCAGGTCCTGGCCTGGGTACTAGAAAGATTCAGCAGAAGAGAACCCTTTAAAGTCCCTGGTAGAATGATTCTGGGTGCTGGAAAAGTACAAGGGGAATGCTTTGCAGAGAGGGGCAGATCATGAGCTTCATCTAACCACAATTATCTTTTTGGGACACGTCATGGGCTTCATCTAACCACAATTTTCTACTGGGAGAGATGGATACTGGGCTGGATGTACAACTGTTCTGATGAAATATATAATTTCTTTTGGCTTGATTTTACAATATTTCATTGTAATTACTCAGAATCTCTTCCAGATAATGGTAAAAAAGCAGTGAAATAAATGTTGTGTAAATAATCAAAGACATTTGAAATATATCACATCATTTAAAAATAAAGTTGCTGTTATTGCTGTGTTCCAAATTGCACCCCAACTCATTTATTACAATACTTGTTAATTTTTTCAAATGGGCAGAGATACTGAAGAAAAGCATTGGATTAGATGATTTATAACATAATTTTCTCAGCTTTCTGTTGTTTGCAGATTGTTCTTTTTTTCCTTCTTCTGTTCTCTTCTTGTTCATTGTGACACTCATATTTTTTTTTTACCAAAGCTTATGTATATTTTATGTATGAAATTGAAACAGTGTGAATAAACAGTGGAAAATGTGCAATTCCTGCAAAATTGACTGCAGAAGTAAAGTAAGACTCTGTTTCCACTCTAGAGAGTTTTGTCCTTGATTTCTTTGAAAAGAAAGATTTGACCCTTTTATTAAAGCATTGACAAGAACCCCAGGCACAGTAAGAGCAGTTAATTAAATATTGGTTGTACTTAAGTCAGAATAATGTATTTTCATCACTTCTCCTTCAGTTTGATATCTTTTTAAAGACTTATTTTGTGTTTATATTTATTACTTTTAAGTTTTGTGTGTTGCTTTAATGAAGACATCTCTGTAAATAGATTGCTGGAAGGAATAGAAATATTTATCCAAACATGGCATTTCTCTTGCATAGTGTATCAAAACCTCGTTTGTGACTTTTACCAAGGCTTGACTTGCAACAGTAAGAGGTGATCCACGTTCAGACTTTAAGGATATGGTAATAAACATCCATCCTAAACCTCTCCAGAGCACTGGGAGAACACATCAAAGAGGCTTATCTTCCCCTCTTGAAAAACAGTATGAAATGTGCAATAAATATAACTTTAAACTAGAGGGATAGGAAAAGGAGAGCTGACACATAAAGGAGATGATATGCAATAGCCAGTTCCTCCTTTCCTAAAGTACAGCTGTAATTATTTATAGATATCCCTGGCTTCTTGGGAGTATAGCTGCTACGAGCAGACTGTTCTCTGCCTTCTGCAGCAGTGCTTCACACCCAGGCTGGTGTCACCACATGGCACAGCTCTGTCACCTGTGCCGGCAGCAAAGCCTTTCCCATCTCGTACTGTGCTGCTCTGCAGCCACTCCTGCTCCTAAGCCAGAGCCCAGCTAACACAGACAGGTGTGGCTCTAGCTGCTTAGAGGTGAATTCTAGGCTGGCTTCTCTTTTTCTTCAGTCTGAAATTCCCCAGAGCTTCAGGCCTTATTGATCTTGATGCAAAAACCAAAAAAGATTTGCAGTTCTTGGGGTGGCTCTGCACTTAACAGGAATGCCCCCAAGTAGGACAGAAAAATATGTAAATGTGACATGTCTTATTTTTGTCTGCTGGGTGTCAACAGGATGCCTCCAATGCAAATGCAATGTTAGACAAATTTGCTTTGGTTATGGTTTTCAGAGTAGCAGCTCCAGCTCCAGCTTCCCCTCTCTGCAGCTTATTTTCTAAGCCTGCAGCTTATTTTTCTTTACCAGTCACCAGTTTTTTATCAAACTTGTAGAAGTTCCATCACCTTGTCTATCAAATTTCACTCAAAGAGACCTTAAGTTCAAAAGCTATTTGGAGGAGACAAACTGTCAAGTAAGCAGGTTGACAATGTAGTTACAAAAGTCTTGTTGCTTAGGAGGCCTCAAGGACTAATGCAGGGGATAAAAAGGGTGTCAGTATTCCTTGTCTTGTCCTCAGTGTCTTTAGCTGCAAATTGCTTTTCAGAAAAAAGCAGTCTAATTGTAAATTGATGACTGTAAGGATAAGTTGAAAGACTGACCTTTTTGCAGAGGGGCTTGAGAGGCTGGGGGAAAAGATGAAGTTAAGAATCTGATGTTAAGAATAGAGTCAGAGGGAGTTCTACATCTCAGATGCAGAAGAAAATGCTTAACTATGAAGTGTGTGCAATAGGTAGGTTTTGAAGTCACACAAATAGAATTTATACTTAGTTTATTTTATAAAAACCATGTTTTTAAAACCCATCTTAAGAACTTTGATGTCTGGATCTTGCTTTTAAAAATCTTCTGTGTCCTTTGAATATTACTGTTTGTTTTTGCACATGGTAACTCACTATTTTCAGAGGTGAAGGCTTGAAAGTATCAGATAAAAATGTCAACAGTCCTGGAGGTTATTGACCATCATTTATCTATGCCTGAATAAAAAATGTTGTTCATGTGATGTTGGAATGTTTGCTCAAACAAACATCAGACCACATTTTAGACCACATATTGCCCAGATAAGTTATTGATGGATGGTATTATATCATAAGATCAATAAGTGTTGAAAAACCATAAAACAAAACTGGAAAGTGAATTGGGAATTGTCTGCCCAAATCCATCTGCTTCTCACCTCCAGTACTGGATGAAGGGTTCTTTGTGTCACTGGCCTGTTCTCTGCAGGACAAGGACAAGCAGCACGCAACAGTTCAGAGTCTGGGAGGAGGTGAGGGGCACCTGGGGTGTGACTGGAGGGACACAGGGTGTGTTACTGCCCAGCTGCTTTGCTCACCCTGCCTGCAAGCCGAGGCCAGGAGATGGAGAGGTTCAGCACAACCTGGGCATGTTCTTAAGAGGATTTCCTGCAGTCCTGTCTCAAGTCACTGTGTGGAGACAAGCTGCCCATGTGGGTGTGCTGGAGGGAGAATGCTGCAGTGCTGGCCCACTCACAGATTGGCATAAAGGTGCTGAATCAGCAGCAGGGTTTGAAGTCCTGATGAATAAATGCTACCAGCTGTTAATAATATCAATGCCATATGGAGTGCTGCAGTATCCAGGTATGTCCTGAGGACAAAGGAAACACAGGAACTATATAACCTCAGACTCCTTCTTGTAATTCAAGAATTTAATCTTGGACATCAGTACCAGGCCTCTATTATGTAACACTGGTGGTGGGTCAGGTGACACTGAAACTGGGGATGGACTCTGTGCTGGAGTGGCCACAGCAAAAAAAGGAAATGCTTGTGACTCTGCACTGACCACTGGTGCTTTGCTGATCTGGGCTGGAGGTACAGTTATTGCTCAAATAAACGCCCGTTCTTCTGTTTATTTTTAAATCAGAGAAGTCTTTGAACCCAAATCCCAAATCCAAGTTAGGGAAATTATTGATTCAAATGTCATTTCTGAGCCTCATCTGCAGAGCAGGCTACACAGTATCCAAATGGAATGCTCAAAACTGGACATCCAGACTTTCCAGCTTCCCCTGCTTATGTTCACACCAACTCCACTCCATTCATCTCCATTCACTATGGCTGTTCAATTTACTGTTGTAAGGAGCCATAGTTAAGAAAAATAACTGAGTGAAACGGGGTATTTGTGTCTGTGGCTAGCAGTTAATGAAGCTGATTTCTTCCCCAGTGCTCCTTTAGGGGAAGAATCTGGTTGTGTATGTTGATAAAAGTCTCAGTAATGTCATTAAACTGATGGAGCCACAGTGAGAATAGAATCAACATGCAAACAGTTAATAAAAAGGACTGTGCAGCAGAAGTGAGAAGTGTGGTGATTAACTGAAAAGAGGAGCAGACCCAGTGTTTTGAAAATCCCTGAAGTGTGACAGGCTGGTGCCCCAGTGCTCTGTTCCCTGGCTCACTGAAGGCAGCCATGGGTGCTCTGTGTGAGTGCCTGGGATCCCAGACTGGAGCATGTGGCAGATCAGCAGTTCCTGTCCAGGGAAGAACACACTGGTTGTGTTAGAGAAACCTGAGCTGGCAAAGGTGAAACTTCCTGAGGGAAAAACAAGACGCAGTAATTGGATGACTTGATAAATAAGAGAATGCTGACACAGCCTAGAGCTCCTACTGCTAGTTAGCATTTGAATTTTAGGATTTTTCAAGAGCTATCTGATTTTGAAAGTTTTTCTACTCTGAAATGAATGAAACCAAAATATATTGAAATTTCTCATAATGAAGAATTAAAGTGGAATTATTTTTGCCTCAGCTGATATGTTTGACACATCTGTTTTTAGCTTATTTTAATCTTTGAAGCAATTAAATTACTTCTTTATATCAAATTTATGTTTGTAAGAGTTTTGCAGACTGAAAATGCAAACACAGTTTCTGTGAATAAAATTCTAAACATTTCAGTATTATTTTGTTCCCACTCAAAATAAAATAATACTTTATATTTTATTTATAATAGTAAAATAATACATTTTAATCAACTTGCATAATGCCAGGATGCTTTGACAAAACTATAGTTCTTTGTTGGAAGTCTCTTTAAATGTAGAAATTATCCAGGATCTCTAGGGATGATACAGCTCATAAAAGCTTGAAACAATATTTTATTGATTTTGTTTTGAAGAAATGGTCTTACAGATCTGGTGGCAACTGGAAAAAGGCTTTATGGTCTCATACAAACCCCTTAATTATTGCAAATATCAGTGTACTCCTGGCCACAGATGACATTTCTTTCCTCTGTTCATTCTTTTTCTTCTTGTCTTCTCATTTATTTATGTTTGTTTTTGTCAGTACAATTACCATGTCTGACTTTAGTGAAATTGATTTTTCTTGGCTGCATGCTGTCGAGTGTCCCTGTGGCTTTTATTATAAAGCAGTTAATATGACCTATCTCAAGAAAGAATTAGGCTGCTTTTTTAAACCATTGTTTTTCCTGCACAGCAGCATCACTAGAGCATAACAATCTCAACAGCCTGGGTTTGATTCTTCACCAGCCAGAATTATGTGCAGAGGCTTCACATGTGGGTAGGCTCTTCCACATGCTTTAAGTGAGGTATGAAGCATTAAGAAAAAAAAATCTTTCTTGAGGTTTTCTACGGGAAATACTAAATAGGTTAGGCTCTTCACATTATAATTGAGTTTACCCACAAAATAGCAAAACCTCACTAGCTTTTAATGCTACCCATTGCTGCATTGCTGTTCCCTGTCCATGCCCTGTTCTATGCTGTGACCCTCTAAGGCCCCGAGAGTGTGGCATCTCCAGGGGGGTTTGGTGCGGGGTGCCAGGCTCAGCGCGCCAGGGCTGTTCCTTGGTGGCCTTGGGGACAGGTGGCCTTGGGGACGGGCTCCTGGGCAGTGCTGGGGGAGGCCACGGCCCCACTTCCCTCAGGAGCTGCTTCGGGCTGAGGCTGCAGCGTTTGTGCCCTGCCCGAGCTGCAGCTCCTGCTGCATCACTGCCGTGCCTGTGCCTGGCCCCAGGTACAGAGGCAGGGGCAGACCCACAGATGGAGGGGCAGGTCCCAACCCACAGCCCCACGTCCCTCACACTGTCTGGTCACTGTGGACTTGCTGGGACAGTGCTGGGCTGTGCCTGACTCGCTGCCATGACCACTCCAGCCCTGACCATGCCTTGCTCACTCGCGTTCAGGGCTTGCCCTCAGGCCTGCCTCCTGCTCCTGGACTGACATCTGGCTGGTGCGACCTGGCAGTCAAGACTGCCCCTGACTGGCGACCTGGCTCTTTCAATAACCTGACTTCCATGCCTGGCTGTGCCCTGCTCGCCTCCCTCAGGCACCACAGGACAGGTCTCTGCCCCGCCAGCCTGATAGTCGCACTTGGCTCATCTCCCCATCCCCTGGGGAGCAGCCATTCCCCTCTGGGCCTTGACAGATTTTGCTACCAAGGATATTTTTTTTCTGATGTCTTTGGGCTGTCCCAGACTTGCAAGTTCTTTTATCCTCCACAGTTACCTTTCCTTCATGCTCTGCTTGATGGGGAGAATTTGAGAATTAAAAGCCAAATACTGTAGCTGGAAAATGCCTCTGTTAAATTTCTTTTCCCGATCTGTTCTTGTGCTTTCATAAAACTCAGAATGCTAAAGGTGAACACTGTATCAAACTCTTTTTTTATTTGAAGGTGTTGCACAAATTGAAAACCATGTTGCCATTTTGCTGTTATTTTGTTACAGATAGTTGAGGTGCTTCGGTGCTGGCTAGACTGTGGCCGGCTTTCTGGTAATCAAAGGATGGAGAATGCCTTCTGGATGCTTTGCTTCTCCTGGACATGAATCTGATGGAGAAGGTTCTTCAGGAAAAGGGAGAAAAACTGGTCCAGTGACTGATTTGGTCAAGTCTGGTTTGTTTACTTGAGTATTTTCTCCATCACACCTTTGGGCAGATTCTACAGCCTTAGGAGGAACTGGCTTTCTGTCTTTATGTTCATTTTGACTTTCTCGTAGGCTATGGAAAGTGATGTCCTCATTGGAAGGGGGTAGAATTTTAACCCAGCCCACTGTTTTTTCCAGGTGTGGGGAAAAAGAATTGGCATCTGAAGGGGAAGCCTGTTGATCCTGTGTGGATTTTCCAGGTGTCTGATTAGCTTCCTGGTTTTCCTCTTCAGTGGCAGGTTCCTAAATAACAAGGATTAAGCATTATCTAAACTGAAGCAATTCCAAATTCCTTCAGATATGTAGGTTACCCTTCACACTAAGGATGTCTAGTCCTCCAAGACCAGCTACAGAACAGAAGCTCAAAGTATAAATGGCTGTAACTACATCTTGTGCCAGTGGAGATGGCTGCATGAAACTTGGGTAACTACAGTAATATCCCCTTGCATCCCCTTTGTGATTTACAATTTCATTGTAGAGCATTCTAAACACATTTTGCAGGATTGTCTCTATACTCACTCTACTGCCTTTTTGTCCACCAAACAACAGCTGGTTTTATCACAAGAGAGATTTCTTCCTGATCTGGCCTTATCACTTTCTTGAAGCACATCTTTGTGAATAAGAAAACTTAAAAATGGCTAGGCTTTTAAAAGTTCAATACTTGTTTTGTAAAGGAGTATTACTCTTGCAATATTAAGATTAGATTAAGAAATACCTGCTGACTGTAGATTTCACAGGATGTTGTGACAAACTGTTCCACATGGCCTTTTACTACAGAGCCTTTGCAAAAACCGATTTTCTGTAAGAAGAAAATACAAGCATTTTTTCACATGGAGCCCTGATACTAAGCTCCTATCTTGTAAAATAAGTGATTATAAAAGGCTGAATAGTTATAGCTTCTAAGTGTATTTGTAGGGATAAACAGCTTGGGCAAATTTTTATTTTGGGATTGGCAACCTCACAAAGGCAGGCAGTGTTTTGATAAAGGCCTTGTGTTTGCAAAGGAGGGTTAGGTAACACAATAGCAAAACTAAGCTGACTACTTAAGGCCAAACTACAACAGCTTGCTTCAGTTCTCATGCAGCAGAATATCCCTATAAAGGCAAGTTGTGTGTAGAACATAATATAATTTTCCACACAGAATCAATTTCATGCCATACTAGTGAAAGAAACTGTGAAAAAAATGCTGTTTCTAGTAGTTGTCTATAGGTATATACATCTATAGGTATCATGGCTTGGATCTCACTTAAGATGTGACTTGAAATGTTACCTCTTGACAACATGACTGTTTAGTCTTCCAGTTTATCTTACAATTTTTTCTTTAGTTCCTAAATGTTTTCCTTAGCTGACCTGATTGTAGTATGAGTATACTCTTCATGCATTGTTAGTGATTTATGCTCTATGTCTGTTTCTTTGGAAGAAATCCTTTAGACTCATTCAGTTTTGTGAGGTGATTGCTACTCCACCTTTTTTAAATGGCATTTTTTTTGTTTTCTTTGCTTATGGACTTCTGGTAAGAATTCAGAAGTTTTGCTGAAATGTTTCTCTATTCTAAAGCAGTCTGTAGACTTGAAAGACACTATAGAGTTATGATCCATAAAAAGATGACTGTGACTTTTGGTTCTTGTCTGCAAAGAGCCAAGGAGATAAATACTAAATATTTGCTGAGGAATCATAGTATCTGGAAAACTGGTGTTCATGGAAAACTGGTGTACAAGGAAAAGTACTTACAGCTACTTCTGGTGGAAGTGGCTCACACATTGAGATGTCAGCAACCTTGTCATCTTTGGAGCAAGATGTCTCCTGAATTAAAAACTCCACAAAATGTGCAGGACCAACAACCCACTGTAAATGAGAGGCCAGTGGCAATTAGAACTTGTGCATGTGTCAGGAAGAATAAAGAATTTCTACTGACCTTGAAATATATTAAAAACTCCTGCTATGGAAGGAGCAGGTGATACTTGGACATTACTGTTTGTTGTGTTACAGTGAATTTTTTGCCAGTACAACTTTATTGCCTGGTCATTTTTTACTTCTTATAAATGCACAATCTTAATAACTCATGGATTGGCATAGTGGAAATGGGTATAGATTTTGTCAGAAATTAGCATCCACATAGAACTACATAGCCAGAGACCCTGTTCTGTGTCTTGTTGACAATTTCTGATTGTTTTAATGAACAGAATCATTTTACTATTTCTGAAATTGGGGTTAGAAAATGGAAGTGATTACATAGTATATTGTAGTAATATCTGACAGTTTAGACAAACAAGAAAAAACACTTTGCTATCTACACATACTGAATTTTAGAGAGACGAGGTAATACTGTGGTAAACAAAGAGGATTTTGCCAGGAGATCATGAGCTCTCTGTTAGTCTAAAATTAGTTCTAAACCATGCTTATATTCATTCAGTGAATTACAGATATGAATTGGAAGGTATGACTTTATTAAATACTTTCTGTTAGGGAATAGAAATGTGAATTCATGGTGGTGGAAGAAAGAGTTAACACTGAAGCTTTTCTGAACTTTGGAAGCAAGTCTATGTCTTGACTTCTGCATTTCTTTTTGCAAGAAATGGAATCAGAGTCTTGGATCACAGAAATCAGGAGTATTCTGAATAGAAGGATTCTTAAGGGCTAAATCAAGTCAGATGAGCCTTGGCTTACCTGCATTGAAGCTCTTGTGACATTGAGGACAGAGAAGTAATGAGTTTGTTCACTCTCTGCATTGAACTTGGCAAGGCTTCGGGCAGCAGCCTCCAAGTATTCAGGCTTGGTTGGAGAACCATCAATGGGGCAGTCGGGACATATTGACCAAATATATTTGCCTGGAACTTTTTATTCAAACACAACAGTGTTGTTAGAGAAGACATAACCAGAAAAGCATGTTGACAGTGTAGGTCACTGTAAATGCATCTGTGCTCCCAACCTTGTCCACTTGTAAGGAGTAAGATATTTGTGGTTTGCACCCCTCAATAATTTTGAATCTTTATGTATTTACAGACCCATAAAAATGTTGCAGTGGAAGCAGACACCGAAGGAAAAATTCAACCTATTGACAGTGGGCTTGCTGTTTTTCCTTGCCTTTTCACAAACTTGGGGTTTTTTTCAGTTCAGAGGGTAAAAGCCCATATAGAGGCTCTGCTGAGTGTCCCAGAGGTTAAAACAGTTATTACTGAACCCTTTTGAGCTGCATTACCTCCCTGGCCTTATGATCACTGACTTGAGAAAATCAGGGCAGCTGAAGCTAATGGAGATACTGCAGTCATAATTACATTTAAAATTTAAAGTGATGCTATTTGGCAAAGAATTTTTCCAGTTCTCTTATAAAGAGTATGTTAAAGACATACCTGGTTGTAAAGTGCACTCATAAGTATTCAGATGAGTAATATTTCTTGCCTGATTTATATAGATAATTGCTTTGCATTGACCGTAAACCTAAAACAACATAAACATTTAGAAACAATTAATATTGCACTCTTTACTCATCATCTAGTAACTAGACAGGAGTGGTTCATTTTCTTCTTGCAATTATGGAATTCTTTTCAATACAAAAGTTTTGTTAATACTTAAATGACAATGAAGCACATTTCCAAGCATCTCATTTAAAAACAAAAGGCCAGCTCATCCCCTGGTGATTCTGATCTATAGAGATGCAGTGCTTAACTGCTGGGTGGCCTGCCCAGGGCCACTCTTCTGGCAGCTGAGAAGTGCCCAAGTGTCACAGAGTGCTCCTGAGTCCCTGTCCTGGGCTGGGTCTACGTCTGGAACTCAGAGAGTTTAAACCCAGAGATAATTCAGAGTGTCTGGATCCAGTCACCTGTCTTCCACCTTCCCCCTTTTCCCTATAATCATAGGGAGAGTGGTAGGAAGGACCATAAATCAGTTTTGTAGCACAGTACGGTCATCCTTGCACACAAAAAAAATCCTACTTTATGGCCAAAAAATATTATCTGAGGGCTTCTTAGATATTCCTGCATGTGTGCTCAAGGCCTCTGGACATGCATTTCTTGGCTTCACTGAAGGCATATAAACCATATAGTCTTTGTGCCCTTTTTCTGCTGAAAACACTGTAATGAGAAGTGAGGAGAATTCTTTTTATTTTTTCTAGTTTTTCATTGAAAAGTTAAAATTGATTTGCCTTAGAAGCAGTCCAGGAAAATTTAATCATAACTTTTTTTTATATATGTATGAACCTTTTTTCTTGTCATTCTTCGTTTTCTAAGAGTTTTTTCAGTTGTTCAGAGCAGTTTTGGTCACCTGTAGCAACAGTGTTGGACCACTTTCTGTCTTTTCAGCTTATCTTGCTGAGCTTTCCCTTTTCTCCTATTTCAGTGCAATTTTTGCAAAGTTGTCAGAATAAAAGTGGAATTAAACTAAACCAAAAATCACATGTTATATAAAAGTGTGTTTCTTTTATTCCCTCCTTGACAAGCTGTCTTTAAAATAAACTCTTATACTGTTGCTATAAAAAGTAAACCATTATTCTAAATATTGTCCTTGCACGGCTATTTAGTTTGGTCTCTTTATTAGCTCTGGTCAAAAACTTTCTTTTAATTTTCACTTTTTCAAATAAATCTTACCAGTCTATAAACTGACTAGAAGGTACAGAGTAAAATTGTGGATATTATAAAATGGGCTTTGATTTTTTTTTTCTAAGCTTTTTTTTTGTTGCCCACTAAAAATCCAAGTGTAGGGGTTTTGCAGTCATCAGTAGTACCTGAGTAACTCATCATATGTGAGATTAAATAGAAAAATAAAATCCTTACGGTTGAATGAGCAGATCTGAGATTACAGTTCTTCCACAACTTTTTGCTGAGTACGTGGCACTCAGTATCTACTACATCCAAGATGAGATAGAAGACAGAACCAGTGATCTCCTGAAAACAAGAAACAAAAGGGTCACATTCCAGTTTTGTATCAAAGTAGGGACTCATAAAAAGGAGAGATGAAAAAATGGAAAACACACAGATGGAATGCAGAGATATCCTGAGAACTGAACACTCTCTGTGACAAAAGTGGCAAATCAGGTGAAATTCAGGTCCTGTTAGAACAGGCTTGGTCATGCATCTAGCCAGCTGTACATAAAGAACAATCCTTTGGTCAGTTTTATTCTTCTTTTTCTGGTACCAACCAGAACCCAAGAATAAAGACTAAACATGTTGATGTTTTCACTGTCAACTGCATTTTATTATCAGATTTGAAAGGTTGGTATTTTGCCTTAAATAAGAATGAGATTGTAAATACCACAACTAATAAAAAACTGCTAACATGGAACATTCCCAGCAGGCACTAGAAAGAGAAATATCTTATTTCTTAGGGCAGTGTCTTCTTCAAGTGTGGATGCTCTCACCTGCTGTAAAGAGGCAGAGGCTGTGTTGATAGAGAAGCTTAGATATTATCTCAGCTATCAGGGAGTTCTGTGAGAGACCTTGCAGGGTCACAGGGATGTCTCAGACTCACTTAAAGCTTCAGTCCAGTGCTTGAGTTCTGACCTGGGCTTAAGTCCAGAAACCTTTATTCAGTTCACTGCAGCACAAAGCAATTCAGGCTCATCTTTCCAGGCAGGAAGTACAAGGAAGGACTAAAAATACAGTTCCATATATCTAGTGCTTACATCATGTAGTGCAGAAGGATGAGCTGCTGCATGGTGCAGCTCCTCATTCTGCCTCCACACTAGACATGGGTAAGCACCTTTCCAGCGTATTTATCAAGGATACAGCTTAGTTGGATCATGTTTTATTTATATCCTTAGTGGAAAGCTGGAAAGAGGGCAGCTGTCATTTATACAATCTAAAGAACTTAGATGTGAGCGTTAGCTGCGTGTTTAGACTGAGATAATGTCTTTGCTGAAGGGGGAGAAAAACCAAACTGAGTGACAGCAGTGTTCATTCATCCCTGCTTGATGTCACTGGCTTGTGGAGAAAACACTAAATGGGGTGACAGTCTTGTGGAAGTCTGGGGCTGATATCTGTGTAATTTTGGCTTTAGTTTTGGCCTCTGTTTAACAGTGACTAAATACCAGTCCAGAGGGCCTATGAAGCTGGAGCACTGCTGACTTTTTTGTCTTCATAGTGCTTAGAAAACGACAAAGTGGTGTCTGCTCTGGAGTTCTGAGCAGACTGAGAGATGCAAACTACTCTGATCACATCTATAGAGATCTGAGGGATGGTAATTGTATGTGAACTCTACATGGATACTCGTAATACTAAACTCTTTAAATATGAAAGGGCAAAATGAAAATAAATAAAAAGAATTATGAAATTGCTTTGTCAACATTGTCTCTTAGTTCTATTCTTATATATGCAGCTTCTCATGCTTTCTACTATTTTTTGTATTTTCACATTATCCTTTTTTTTCCTTAAGTGTTCTATGAAGTGATCTGGTAATGCCTTGCAGTGAAATCTCAGAACTTGCTTACACTAATCCTGAGGTTTAGTTATAAGTTTCATTTTGAAGGCTGTGGAAAGATCAAAAGACAAAGAGTGACACTGAGGTGCAGCAGTGCTGTTTGTGCAGTGGCACAACAATATCCCCACACCTGGCTGCAGAGATCCTTCTGTGGAAGGGACTAATCATCATTTTCTGTCTAGGTACAAGATATCTAAATACCATGATGATAATTCTCTTTAATATGATAGCTAATACAGCTTAAATCAGTAAACACACAGTAAGATCAGTCAAAGAGTGATGAAAATGTGTTTTGGAGTAGTGCAGCATTTGGTACAAGTTTGTAATTTTACATTTGACTTCTATAAGAAAAAAGCCATCACTAAGACTATCCACGTTAAGAAGAAATAGCCAAGAAAAATGTGCATCTTTAAGGAGTCTTATATTTGGAATTGGTGACTTGAGCTTTCAAACTGGTTGTTAAGGTATTCTGGAGGCAAAAGGACACAAATACCTCATTAAAGAAATCTTCTTATAATCAAATGTGTTTGGTGTTAGATGGGTTTCCTCAGCTGAATCATGAATATTGATTATAAAGACTGGTGATCTTAGAAATACTAAATGCATCCAGTGCAGACCAAACCCTTGCCTATAGGTCTCTTGTATAATAGCAGCTCTAATAAGCAGATAGGTTTATTACAAAATCTACACATCTTTTGGTCTACCTGCTTCTGTATGTATCATTCACCCCCAGGGAAAGGATAATTTGGGGCTTATTCAGAGCTCAGCAGATCACTGAAAATTTTAATAATCCTTATTTTAATTTTCATTACAAGACTGTTATGCAAGGGCCTTTTGATATCTGCTTAGTATTGAATAAAAAGTTGTATCTCTTTCCATTGCCAAAAGGATCCCTTCCTCAGCACTGCTGGTGCCAGGCTGCAATGTGTGCTGGGCAGCCAGGGAGCCAGAGGAGATGTGGTAGCAGGGTGACCTGGTGCAAGGGAAAGAAATAAAATATTTGGGCATGTTTTGTAATTTTGGTTAAGTGCCCGTCAGTGAAGCTAATCATGAGTATCTTGTATGAAAGCAAGCTCTGTCCTACTTGCATATAAGTTAATAGCAGATGGCTCATTACTTTCAATTAGAGCAAAGCTGAACCACAGGTTGCTTAAGGGCAGATTTGAATTTGAAGTAACTTTGAAAATTTTTTATCCTCAGTACTACTTAAGAAAGTGAGAGGAAGGACCACTGACTGGTGCACAGGGAAAAAAAACTTCTTAATTTTTTTGAGAGGAGTGGGAGGTGGCATAAGGCTGTTACTGTCCATGAACCCTTTGACATTGCTGACTGCTCCTTATGTACTCAGTCCCAGCAGCAGCAACCATGGGACAAAGGGCTTAGAATTTGTTTTGTTTGAATTGTCTAGTTTGTTATTGCAATGACTTGAAACACCTTATTTACAGGATACAATAATAGATGAAAAAAAAAAAGAAATCATAAAAGTAAATAAGTAAATTAAACCCTCAGATAAACAAAGTATGCTTGCTCTAAAGCAATGAGTTGTCTTTAGGAAATTGAGTGACAGACAAATCACAACCAATGACCAAAATTCTCCATTGTTGAGATATCTTTGGCACAGATGAAGGGAGAAGTAGGGAGATAACTGAGGTGTTTTACAGCATGTCTGCACCTACCATGCTGCACTCTAGGGTGCTCATAGAGGGCTCTAATTACTGTCAATAGGAAATAGCCTCAGGAGGAGACCTGAGTACCAAACTCCATGAAATAGCCCCAGGAAGGGGTCTGAGCAGCTAACTCCCTCCTGCTGATGTGGATTCTGGGCCAGCTCACCTGCATCATGTGGAAAGATTCTGAAGAGATCTGTTCCAGTTGCTCAGTGGGCACATTCTGTCACCTGAGCAAGGCAATATAGAGCACACAGTGCAAACCACAGCAGAGCATCTTTAGCTGTGAGATCTCAGGTTGCTGGAGTCCACAGTGTGTCTGCAGGAGCCCTGTCCTTGTAAGAGCAGCAGGAAGAAGTGTCATATCCTTGCCAGCACAGATCTCTAAGCATCTGGCAACGAGCCTAATTTTCTTTAGTGTTCTGAGCTCAGCCTTTCAGGTAAGGTAGGCTTATGGGAAGTGAGCAGCATTGCAGGGAATGCTAGCAGCATGCTTCCATAGTGCCTAATCTGCTGCAGGCCCTTGTGAATTCATTTCAGGCTGTCCCTGGTTAGTGCCAATAGATTCAGTTATTGTAGCACAAAATTGTCATAAATTAAGCACACACAGAGAAATACGATACTTGAGGAAATGTGAGTGGTATTCTGTAGGTATTTTCAGTGTATTTTTGCCCTTGAACTGGTTTCAGGTTCCTTCTGGAGAATGAGTCATCTTTTAGAGGTCTGTAAAGGAATTCCTTGGTCCCAAGCAGGATGTGTTTACACCTGTTAGTGCTCATATCTTTTGTGCAAAACACACTATGACTTACTTGCCTTTGCACTCCAACTGCTCAAGGCAGCGGGAGGAAGGTGTAAAATGAAATTAAATCAGAGTAGTGGTGTTTCATATCAAATTTGAACTGATGCCTGGAGCTATTCCAAGGGCCTGCAGCAGAGAGTCATGACTGAGATTTGCTCTCTAATTGCCCACAGTGTGATGAAATCGTTTCTAGTCTGCGCATAAAGTTGACATGGCCTCTGGAGTCCTGTGAATAGAGCTTTGCATTAGCCTTTGGAAATATTTCCTCATTCAAATAGATATTTCTGAGAAATAGACACGGGGAGGAGCACATACTGAGCAAGAGGGTGACTTACCTGGGGCTGCTCTCGGGCGCTGACGATCCTGTAGAGGCTGAGCACGTAGCCCTCCTCTCGGTCAGCGTTGATGTGGCGCAGAGCCAGGTCTGCAGCCGCCTCCACTGCGGCGTCATCGCAGCGAGGGCACAGCAGGGCAGCCCCTGCCCCTGGGGCTGGGGGGGCAGCAGTGCAGGAGCAAAGCACCTGCATGCCAAAGAGCACCCAGGCAAGCCAAGCCATTCTGCTTAGAGAGCCAGTGCTGCAGATCAGGGTGTTGAGTCAGGATGGAGGGGCTGAGACCTGAGTGAGATAACAGACCTTTATGTTGGAGCTGTGTCTCTTTATAAACTTGTGCCCCCTTTTTATTACATACTGACCATCACCTTTAAACCTACAGCTGCAACAGTAAACACTAAGTCAATGATTACAAGGTTTTACAGAAGTGTTTTTGCTCCCTCTGAGACCAGACAGCACTTTTTCCCCCTGGCTTTCCATCTCTAATTTGGACTTCACTGGGAAGTTCACGCAATTTTGACCTCATGGCAAGGGATAAGAATACACATACAAAGCTGCTTCCTTAAGAAACCAGATTTGCTTGAATAAATCTATGTGCAGAACAGGTCTGGCTCCAGTTCTGTTCTGTCAGTGATCCAGTTCTTCTGCCAAATAAAACAAAGACAAAGGTCTCAGTAATGTGAACAGAAAATGGTAAATGCCACAAGGTTGACTGATTTTGCAATTTCTATTTGTTAAATGACAGTTTTAAGCAAATATATTGACTCTAATATATGCAGTCAGTTTGGTTGTGATAGGAAGCTCAGTTTGGATTCATTCTGTGAGCATTTCCACTCATCTGGATACCTACAGTTGAATGCTACTCCTTAGCCCTGGAGGCATTGACACCCCTCAAGGGTCATGGCAAATTCTTCCCAGAGAAACTTTAGTTTGAAATGACAGCAGTGTGCCTTGTGAATAACCTGTCAGGAACTCCATGCTGGAGACAAGGGGGAATAACTTTACAAGTAGCTTCTATCTTGAAGATCTGGAGAAGTGACAGGGACCATTACTTGGGGAGGATCCTGGTGAATGTCACTGGTTTCCTACTAAGGGGCAACTCTGCAGCATTTCACCTTGAAGGATACCAGAAGCTGGGTTACCATGTCCCTGGCTCTTATTTTTTGTCATGGGACTCTGTGATTGCAGCTTTCTGCTGGACGACGTCCAGTATCTTTAGTTTTGAAAGTTCTGTTGAATGAGGAAGAAAAAGTGCAAGTGAAGAGCATAATTGCCTCTTCAATGCTACTGTGATGTTTGGAGTAAAGATTTCTATATTGTCATTTTTTTACTGGCTGTGTAAAGAATCTGAGCCCAGAAATGTTTAAATCATCTGGAGACAGCAGAATGTGTCCCAGGGAATGTGCATAGAAAGCTGGGATTATAGATACAGACAGAAGAGCTGCAGCAGCACTGGAGCTGAAACTCCTCTGAGAAGACTTTGCTTGGTGACAGAGGTGCAAAACCCCTCTAGCAGGGCAGAAGGGGCACATGGCTGCTGGAGTGAGCCCCTCTCGTGTTGGGTGAGGGGTAATGCACAGACTGTGTCCCCGAGGGAGGGGATACAAGGGCTCAATGTTGGGAAACACTGCTGTAGCCATAGTACAGGAACCGCAGCAGCAGCAATGCAGACTCACTCCCATTGTTCCTTGTGCCTGGGGCTGCTTCCCCTGCGGCTAAGGGATAATAACTCATTTTCTTTATCCTTACAGTGCATGGCATTTCTATGGAGATGGGTGCCAGTTAGTGCTGGCTGTGTCGGTGCTTCTTATAATAGGGGATTGTTATATCCCTGACTCTGCTCTTTGTACTCTTCCTCTGCCTGGAAAGGAAAAATTTCTCTGTTGAAGTAGCTGACCTCAAAACATGGACACAGCTGGGAAATCCGAGCATGTTCAGCCAAAGCAGCACATGAAGTACATGAGCTTTTGCAAAACAGGGTCTGAAAAAGCTGAAAAACATTGTCAGCCAGTGATGCAGACCAGGCAAAACTCTTCATGCTGCATTTCAAGGGAGGAGGCATTTGTATTTCATCTACCACCATTTCATATGTCTCATTGCCCAGAGAATTTACTGTTACATACTGACTCTGTTACTAAGGCCTAGGTGCATAAACATGGGGCTATACTGGTGGGAGAAAAAGTGATTGCTTCAAAGCAGTCATGGAAAACAGATCTGTAAGGGGGCACAATGTTTCCTTAAGAGGACAAGTGCTAAGGAGAAAGAAGAAGGACGGCTACCAAAGTGGAATGCACACAGAAAATTTTTTTCTTCCTGCTTTAGAAAAAAAGGGATTAGTTTCACCAGCTATAGGAGAACATCTGTGAAGTATGGAGCCTGCAGATGTTTCTGGTATATATCTTTGCTTTATGTGGTTTGAAAAGGCAACAAGAAAATGCAGCATTTCTGGATTTCAGGGATCCCCATAGGTAGGGATCCCTTCTATAAACATTGTTTCTACAATCAGAAAATTTTCTACGCCTGGAAAACACTCTCTCTTCTATTAAATAGTTCCTATTTCATTATATAGAAGACAATATTTATAGTTTAGTAATGATGATTCCTAGTTTTGAAAAGTCTCATGTATCTGGTGTCACAGGGATCCAAAACTCAATAGTTGCAGTTTCATTAAATCCTGTGCTGTGTCTCATGCAGTGAGACGGGAAGACCTCGTATCTTACTGCATTAAGAGATTTCTACAGCTTAATACTAACACTTTTTGAAGGAAAGGCTGCATGCAGGTTATACTGGAGCCACTGCTTTACAGAGGAGCAAAAACTCCCTGAGCCACTGAGTGGCTATGCCTGGTGCAATTGCCCACAACACACTTCCTGTAAAACTCAGCGTTTGCTGGAATGTGAGAGCAGCTACCTTCACAGGAGAGCTTGCCCTCAGTGTGCTGCCATCACATCAGGCTGTGGTTTATAGAGTCTGATAGAGAAAGATTTTCCTTTCTCCACACACCCAGCTGAAGCACTGGTGCATGTGCCAATGACTTTTCCTTTCCCCATTGGCACAACAGAGCAGAACCTCTCTATACTGTGAGCTGTTGCACTATCACCAAGAGCAAGTGTTAGTTGTGTTGCTTACTGAGTACTGGATGGTTGTAGCTAGGAGAACAGGACAGGTTATTTGAAAGAGTTCAGAAATGACATGTGTTCTGCAATTTTTTGCTGCCTGCATGATAATTATCTTGTAGCAAGTGCTGTTCCTGGTTAAACATTCATGACTGTCTTTGAGACTGCTCCCCAGGGCCTGCAGAATTCCAATCTGGCTGGCAGTAAAGATCCTTCTGGCCCCAGCCCCTTATTAATTCTCTACCTAGAATAGATTCTGCCTCTAACATGTGCCAGAAATTCAAGGAAGATTTGACTGCTCGGACAATGGTAAATTGCCATCACTGTCAGGGTCCTGTTATATGAGATACATGCCAGTCATATATTTTTTATTTCCTTGAACTGGCATTTCCTCATATGCACACAGATTGTGCAGGACCCCACGACTGCACTGCACCTGTGTGTCTGCTGGCAGGCAGACAATGCACATGCATTTGGCTGCAAGGATTGATGCTTTCAGCCTGCCAGCAATGACTGTGTCCTGACTCTCTGTTCTTTTCATAGACATGGATGCTCTTGTGCCATGTCCAAAAGTTTTGAGGTACTTCTGGTGGATATCAAAAGCAGGTACATGGTAGGAAACATTAGAGGTGGAAGGGAAAAGTACTTTTTTTCCTGCCACTTCTTTAGTGCTATTGGTGTGTGATCAAAAGGGAGGACTGACCTGATTTTCCGCAGTGCTCAGCACCCACACATCCCAGTGAAGCTGATGAGAAGTGCAGGAGCTTAGTGTTTTTGAAATCAAGCCCAGAATATGACTCATAATGCTGTGAAGGAGATACTTGACAACTAAATGAAAATATATACAGATAGAAGGTAGCAAAGCTTTGAACATTTTATTGTGAACTAACCTTTCACGTGGTGTTTCTATCACAAAGCTACAACTGTTGTATAGCTCTTACAACAGTTTCACTGAAACAATGTTTTCTGTATTTTAACTAGAGAATCCCTGTATGTAAAGTAAACTACTGCTATAAATTGTAACAATCTATATTTTGGAGCAGGCCTTTGCAAGACCCTGACCATGGCTCTCCCCTCTGGAGGGTAAAACTCATTCAGGCTGAGAGGCAAGTGTTCTCAGCTATTTGTAGTCGATGTTGTGGTCTGCATGTTGCTGCTGCACTGATCCCTCAGTTTGGCTGCATTACATGTCTGAAACACGGCCTAGATATCGAAATAGCGAATCCTGCCAGGGCAGGGAGGAGGAGGAGGCACAAAGCCAACAGGACGAGGGACTTTGTCATGCTGAGCAGCCTCTGCAACTGCTCTCTTTGCTACTGGTTTTGCTGGGAGCATGGAACGGAACATTTCTGAAGAGCTGGATTCAGATGCAACAGGGTTATTGTGGAAAAGCCCAAGATTGTGGTTTGTGACACCCACAGCACTGGGTGCCAGTCCTGCTGATGTGTCTTGACCTGGATGAGCATAGGTAACTCCAGGCTGGAAAAGAAAAACAGCTCATGTTGTTTTTCAGGGGTTTGGGGTTTGTGATGTACAGGTAATTGATACCTTACTAGTTACCCTGCTCCTAAAAGCTGCAGGCCTGCAACCCAAGTTCAAATGTTCCTGACTATCAGGAAGTCTGATTTGCATTGGAACACATGCACAGGAACCCAGGAACACATTTTTTATAGCCAATGATTCATCAGGACCAAATTCTGTGCTATATGATCTTTCAGGGCCACCTGCACAGCTGGTGAAATATTCAAGACCAGCTGTCTCATTTTTTCTTTCATATACCTCTTAGATGGCTAATTACTGTTGAGCTACCAAGAGCTGTTGTCCATAGGAAGTATCCAACCACCACCTAGCCCTCCTGAGACCAAATGTGAGCTAAAATACCTGGAGAATACTCATGTCAAGTGATCGTTTCCCTCCCCTTGCTACAGCAGTGCAGGACAAGGTCCCTGATTTCAGCCATGTCTAAGGACTAAAAGCCTCCAGACCCACAATGCAGATTTCTGTTTCACATTTATCTGCCCCATCCTTTAGCAGAGTTTGGTTCCCTTTGCCCTGACAGACATGTGAATCTCCCAGATGGTCAAGAGGGCAAATTGTGTCAGGCATGGATGGCAGACATGACTTAATTCCCAGCACAGAAATCCATAGGATAATCAGGAGCTACCTTACCTTGGCTTTTAGGACACAAAGTTAAGTTATCACAG